GGGAGCACTTTGGGCACCTCGGCAGCACGGAGCAGCTGTGCGGCACAGCGGGAACCGCCCTTCTGCCCCGCATATTGCATCCCTTGGGATTGTGGTCTCTTAAGCCGTGTCTGTGCAGGCAGTGGTAACCCGGGTGGCCACCCCCCAGGCAGGTAGCTGGTTGTAGGGGAGCAGCTTGCCCTTTAGAAACAATGTGGGTGTCCCAGAGTGGTCTAGTGCAGGGAGCCTGGAGTGGTAGCACCGGTGAAGGGTGGCACAGGTGGTACAAGTGGTACACAGATAGCGGAAACTCCAGGTTGCAGCCTGTGCCTTTCCCACATCCTCTTCTAAGGCCATCCACTCTGTTTGAGCCAGCCTGAGAAGAGAAACTTAAGAGAGTTCCTGTTTGTTTTCATTCCAGCAAATGCAAATCCCTCTTGCATAGCTCTCAACCTGACAGTTGCCTTGTACTTTAACAGAGATGAACTGGAGGTGCCTCCTCCAGTGGCCTTGCTAGGGGATGGAGGCTTGGGTCACCCTCAGCACAGTCTGAGAGGCAGCTGCTACTGCTTTGCTGTACCTTTTGCTGACCCTAATTGGTGCCTCAGCTGATCTTGTCCTTGATGCAATTTGGCCTCTGGGTTCAAACACCTCTGCTGCTGTTCCTGGTGTTTGAAGAACTCCCCCCACCTCTGTCTTTTCACGTCTCGTTCTCCTTGCCGTAGTACCTAGGAAGCCTTTAGTTGTGTCATAAGCATTAACATCTGTTTTGAGGTTTGTCATGATTCCATAACCTTCAGTTTCTTCTGAAAAGGCTCTCTTTGCCATTGCCTCTGCCGTCCTTTCCTTTGCTTCCATCGCGATTCTATCTTCCTCTGTTTGAAAGAGTTCACAGATACAGAATTTGCAGTTTTGCAGATGCTTTGCCAAATACAGCCTCTGTGCCGTGCTGCAAGACGTCACCATCAGCCCCCTCATCTTGACTCACTCTGGCTGTGAGTCGTGCTGGGCAGTGTCTAAATGCGTCCTGCTTGTGTGAGAGGCCCTCCGTAGCGCCAGTAATGCCCACGTCTCTGAGCTGGCCGCTGCTGTTCTGTTCGTGAAATCCTCTGCTCTGCCAAGGCCAAAGGTTTCGGTTCTCTCTCCAGCTGCTCCGCTTAGAATTAGCAGTGACATTAAAAACTAGTACAAGCGTACAACAGTTTTTAAGAACTATTAAAATGGCAATAGGATGGGGGGAACTGAGCAGTAGGGCAGAGGAAAAAAGTGATGCTCAAAGCTTTGCAGGGCACCTCCTCTGCTAGCTGTTATGAGAGGTGTGGCTGCGTGACATCTCAGGGTTCAGAGTGCAGGTGAGGTGTCCCTGCAGTGGATGACTGTTCAGGCAGACTTTGTGACAGTGGTGATATGAGCTCGCATGGGACAGCCTGAGTTGTGCTTCGCTACCTTAACTGGTAATTTCCCTTCATCCTCCAGCAAAAGTATATTTCTAATCGCATTCTAAGGGTTGCTCAACCCCACTCCTGAGTGACACAGCTTTTACTTTGTCTTATTTTTGGAACCTTTCTGTTAGGAAATAAAATTGCTTCCTTTGCAGGAGCACCTAGGAATTCTGAAAGGAAGAGGTCCAGGTATCAGCAGAGTCCCTTCTGGGGCTTTAGGTTCTTCAGAGATAACAGGCAGTGCAGAACAGGAGTGGTGGAGGGTTAAGAATGCAGCTTCCAAGTTAAACTCGAATAATTTCCAGATTTCTGGACTCCCTGCCCAGCAATCAATGCATCATAATGGGCTTCTGTCCAAAAGTTATCTTGAAGAATATTGTTCAGGGTGCAAAGTCAAGTGCTGCAGTGTTAAGGAATGTCCTTGTACCCCAGTTCAACTTGTTTTAGATGTGCTCAAAGTGTAATGACTAATTTTGTAATTGTATACTACTTACCCCCAGGAGCCCAGCCATGGGTACTGCACAGCAGAAGTGGTGCTGCTCTTGAGGTTTTTTCTGTTCCTTTTTTTAAGTTGTATTGTTTTAGTCTGTCTACAAAAAATGGCAAGAGAGACAACCGTGTACCTCGGGGTGAGAGAAGACAGGACTCGGTAACAGGGTCTGTAAGGTGTGTGCAGCCACTCCGTACAGAATTTGGGGAAACCCTTGTCACCTAAGCTGGTGTTCTGGTCTTTGCGTGCTTAGGTACCCAGTGCCAGAGATTAAATATCCATCACAGTCATCTTGCTCACATGTTGTGGCAAGGTGCTCTGCTTTGCATTAAAAATTGATGCTGTGTTCTAGTTTCCAGATGACTTTCATTTGCTTGCCTTCTGGTCCAGCACAAGCCCCTCTTTCTTCTTCCCCACACCACACTTATCCCCCACAAACACCACCAGCCTGCCTTCAGCCACATCCTGAAATGGAGCCAGTGAGAACACTGTGACAGCCAGAGCCCAGCTGGAGAGAAGCAGTGGTTTCAATGACTTGTGTGGTACGTGGCAGAGCTCCCATGGCAAATACCCCAAACCACCACATGTGTGGTGGAAGGCCAGAGCTTGCTTAAGCAGCCTTTGCCCTTGGTAGTCCTGGTTCTGTAATGCTTGGTGAACCCAAATGAATTCATTTCAATGATGTTTGGTATATCAGGTAACAGACAAAGCAAAAGAGGCTATTTGTTTTTGAAGTGAGGAGATTCCTCTTCCTCCTGGGAGCCATATGGGGTTAGGAGGTGGAGTGCAGAAGAGATCTCTTGTTTCCCACTGTGTGAAGCTCAGCAGGGGGACTCTTTGGGATCTGCTGAGACAAGCAGCATGTCCTAACAAGAAGCTGCAGCAATCAGCATTTCCCTGGTGGGAGAAGGCTCCTCTCCCCAACACCATTAGTTGGGTTTTTGTCCTGCTTGTTGTGTCGTCTGTTGTTGGGATTCATAGGGTCAGCTGCAGTCCCTGCATTGGCAACATCTCCAGCTGGGGCCCAGGCAGCTTGGCTCAACGGGGTATTGTTTATTCCTCCCAGGAATATGCAAGACCTCGGGGAGCTTTACAGAGCAACATGTTCTGCTCTGAGCAGGGAGAGTCACTGTATGTGGCGACAACTCTGAAGGCCAGAAAGAGCTGTCAGGGCATGCTGGTGTGCAGGTAATGTCCTACCCTAGAAGTGTGGATGAGGACTGTGCAGGCTGTGCAGATGCAGTGGGGTATGGAGAAGGGAAGGAGGGCTGTCCAGATTTGGAGAACATGAGGAGGAACAGAGGAAAAAGGTAGAAATGCCTCAGCATGTAGTTAGTAAGCTTCTGTTCTTGACACAATGGTGTGTGAAGCCAAGTGTAACTCCTGTTTCCCTCCCACTGTGTGCTGTGTATTGATCCTGAAGAGTGCAGTGAGAGCTGCAGCATATCTCTTGTCAAAGCCAGATCCAGCAGCCTGAGGGTGCACTGAACAGGGCTCAGGGGCGTCTCTGTCTCTGGGAGTGGATTGTGTTTCCAGTGAACAGACATTAAGCTATAATGAGTGGAAAGAGGCATGAAAAGATGTAGGTGAAATGCAGGGGGGTTTTCATTTTTAAAAAATATCGCTGGCAGTATTTGTTTACTATTTTTAATATTAATTTCTCTAATAATTCTGTGACAAGCTTGTTTTTTGTACATTTCTGTGAGTCTGACCCATTCCTGGTCTACTGCTCATGCGGGATGTAAGATTTTTAAAGAGATTGAGACATCTGCTGCACAAGAATCCACTTGTCCCTCTTGTGCAAATCCAGTGTGCCCGTGGAAGCCCACACGGCACATTTTGGTCTGTTGGTGAAACGTTAGTTTTTCAGTTATGGTGCTGTCATACTGACCATAGTCAGTGCTGCTTCTTCAGTGAGAAACTGAAATGTATTTTTGAGAGGGGAAACAAGTGGTGATAGCACCTGCTAAGTTTGGTTGCCTTGCTTCTAATTTGTGGCATCCATCCGTTACTGTTTTTTATCTCATGATCTGAGCAGCCCTTTGGGAATACCAGTGGATTAGCTGTCTTCAAACCCTTTGGGTCTCTCCTTTTTCTGGGGCTGTTAATACTTTTTGTAATCAGCCTAAAATGATCTCTTCACATTGCTGCCTTATCTCTTAAGTGGTTGAAATCCTTGCTTCAGCATCTAAGTGATCTGGTACTTTGACAAGTGCCTGACCATTATTTGTGGTGAGTCTGTTGTTTGAGATTTCTTACCGTCCACAATCTCAGCTGCAAAAGAGAGGAGGGATACAAGAAGCTGTCAGTCTGTGTGCAAATGCCTTTTCTTGGCTGTGGTGACTTGATCCAGTCTGTGCCTAAGGTCTCAAAACAGTATTGTAACAGAGTTAATAGCCGTCATTTCGTTCTAGCCCCTCCTTTCATCAGCCCATGCTGGACCAGACACGCTCCAGAGATAATGGCAAAATGGGATAGGCAGTCTTCCATGGAGGTAATGTTACTGTGTGCTGAGCATGCAGGCAGGCAGGCTGGTGGGGGTGATTAATGCTCTGGGAATCTGCTCTCTGCCTTGCTGCACAATGCTTTTGTGTCAGGCCCAGAGCTTAGCACCAGGCAGGCTGCAGTCGAGTGCCAGGAACACGTTACCTGGTTTGTGCAGGATCAGGCAGCGAGACAGAGCCCGTGTGTTCTCAGCGGGGTGAGTTTGCTGCTGCGCCACAACTTCATACTTTCACAGTGAGGCTCTCTTTGGATGCGGGTCTGCTGCTGGGTGGGGGCAGGAGTCCTGCGACTCGCAGTCCTGTCCTCCTCCAGCGTGAAATCCCTGAGCTTGCTCAGTTGTGGCGGAGCCCTCCCTCCTTCCCTCTGGCAGGCAGGGATCACCCATCCTTAAGGTGAGAGGGGATGGTGCTTGGCCAGCTGTCAGGAGCCGTGACTCACGGGGGATCACAGACGGAGCCCTGCTCTCCCTGCAATCTGCTCTTCCTTCTGGAGCCTCTTCGTGAGCTGTTGCTGAATGTTTGTTTTCACCACATCTAGGGTGGATCTGGGAGAAGCTCGGGCCCACTATTTAGCCTGAAGAGTTGGACTCAGTAAGTTTCCAGTCTGGAATATGTTGGGAGGCTTCCTTCTCTAGGTGGGGGTTTGTAGAAAATTTGGCAGACGGCACTGCATGGAGTAAGACGAGGCCAAGGTCCCAAAAAACATAATATTTTGTGTTCAATTCTTGTCATGGAGCAAGCAAACCCCACAAGACTGATTCACTGCTTGCGAATACAGGGGCATACTGTCTAGACTTGGATGGAGTCAGGGAGTGATCCTGCTCTTCGTGGTACTGCTGAGGGAACATGAGCCTGGTGGGATTCTTTTTTGGCAGTTTTAGAAGTTACTTCACACTTTCTTACAAGCTGCCTCTCAGGGAATGCTTTTGACATGAATACGTTAGTGTTTTATTATAACCGTAATTAATATATACATGGTGGAGCAATTGCAGTCCTGCCTGTCACTCTCAATCTTCTGTCTCGTTGGAAAATCTTGCACATTTTAATGATGAGTCCCCAGAGCTGCAGGTGTGTCAAGGAAGTGACACTCCTGTTCTCATGGGCAGGATCAGTGGGAGGGCCATATCCTCAGCCGCAGTGGCTGCAGCAAAGCCAGGGTTTGGGTCTGCAGCACACATGCCGTAATCCTTGCGTGCCTCAGCCCATTCTTCACCTTTGACAGAAGAAATGCAAGAAATCTTACTGTACCATCATGTGCTCCTGGAGAAACTACCCCGAGGCAGCAATTATGCCTGTAGTGCCCTCTTTGTCTGGTGCTGCTGTGTAGTTTGAATATTCAGAGTGTGGCAAGGATTCCTAGGACCCTGAGCTCAGTCGGCAACCTGTCTGGGAGGTGGAGAGCAGCCCCAGGTGCCTGCAAGGGCCTGCTACGGCTGCGCCTGTTGCTGCTGCTCTCCTGTTTCCAGCATGCAGCAGCATGTCCCAGCCACCCCACCTCAAACAGCCCAAGGATCCTTTAGTATTTCCAAGCTAATTGATGGCTCTTCCATCTTTTTCCCTGCTCCACATGGTCATGTTTTTAATACTGTTACTCCTTCTGCCTCAGTAGGTTTCTGCTATCCTGAACTGCAGCTCTTTGTGCTCCTGATTCACTCCAGTCCATTCATCTCTTTTTGGTGGCAGAGTGCTGTCGGCTGCTGGATATTGGGCTCTTTGTTTGTACAGCCAGCACAAAGCTGGTGACAAAGGGACAGCCTGTGTCCCAAGGAGCCCACGTGCTATGGGGAAGGCAGTGGAGAGTAATAGGAGCAACGGATGGGACGGCAGAGGTGAGGGTGGCCAGGGGCCAGGGCATGCTGGCTGCAGCAGGGGCATGGCATGGGGGTGGGGAGAGACATGCTGAGGAAGCTGTTCCTGCTGAGTACAAACCCGCTTTGTTCCCAGGAGGTGAGTCGGACTGGATAAACAGAGTGGTCCTGTCAGCAGAAAGCCTTTCCCTGGCTGGATCCCCCACTGGCACTCTCACTGGAAGTTGGCTGCACCTCATCAGCAGAGATGTTTTCTCTTCTCTGTGTTAGCTTCCCCTCTTCCTGACTCTCCAGGGCTCAGGTGGGCTGTGTGTGGCTCTATGGAGAAATGGGGTCCCTAGGGACCCTGTGTGTTTTGTTGTGTTGTCACTGTGCTCTTTGTGCTGTTAGGTGGGCGGGGTTATTTGTTAAGCCGTGCTGCCCTAGGGACGGGTATCACCGGCTGGGCAGTGCTTGGAGTGTGATCGTTCACTGTGCACTTAGAGGCGCTTTGAGAAGGGAGGACATTGGGTCTCATTGTAGGGAATTTGGGTCCAAATGGACAGAGCAGGGACTCTGCTTGTGATGTGGGAGGAAAGCAGCCTGTGCCAAGGGGACTGATGGGGAAGATGCTGACATCCCAGTGTCACAGAGGGCAGGGCTCTGGAAGCACCTTGGAGAGGTGTTTGCTGCGCCATCCTGTGCCTGTAATTGCAGTGGGACAGGAAGTGAAGGCAAACACTCACTAGCCTGAGGTGTTGATGTTGAAGAATAATCTTAAAGTTCCCAGTTGCTTTGGATGGATGAATTTCTCAGTTCCCATTCCAAGGAATCTGGGAGGAGGTGAACGAGCAGCTTAAGCTGCAGGACTGCTGCTGCCCTGGTGCAATGTATTGCCTTGATGGTGAGGCTGAAAATCAGAAATGATACAGGAGCCTGGTTCAGCAACCACTTCTGGAGGAAGAGGGAATTCAGGACATAGCCCTTGATTGAGGAGGTCTTTGCCTGCCCTCAGGTCTCCTGCCAAGGGAGTTTCAGCCTTGGCTTCCAGAGCCTTGGACAGGGTCTGTACCCTCATCTCAGCTTGGCTTCTGCCAAGAACCATGGTGATGCCTCCCAGGAGATGACTGAGCCTGGTACCTAGAAGGCAGAAGGGATATTTCCAGTCAGGTCTGAGGATGCTCAGGCAGGGTCAGCCCAGGTGGGGATGGGAAGAGTTCACCAGTGGGGAAGACGATAGTGGCATGAGTGGCCTCAGTGGACTTTGTGCCTCTTCTCTTGCTGGGCCAGAAGTGTGACACTGCTTCAGCATGTGGTTCCTGTGGCCCTGACTGATGGCATGGGGAGGAGGATTCCTGTGCCCATCCTGCCAGAGCATGTGTGGTGGGACATGCAAGTGGATGGTGCTGTCTGCTCACCCGCCCCTGGCAGGCTCAGAGCCCTGCGCTGTATGTCAGGGAAATGCTGAGTTTCCTCCCCTCCTCTTGCTTCCTTCCTGATGGGAATTCACTTCCAAATTTCTTGCTGCTTCTCCCCCCCCTTGCAGCACAAATACGTGGCACTACAGAGATAGTCAAAGGGGCTGGGCAAGGCAGCTTAGACCACAGGGGCTGTATTGCTGGAGACCCTTGGATCCTGCAGTATATGGCGAGGGTTTTACTTTCTGAGCATATATGTGATAATTTCAGGTGTTTCTGGCTGCTAAAAAACTTCTCACTGTCTCAGCCCTAGGCACTGATCCGCCTTCAGACCCTGCGCGATGGAGGCTGGCTCCGTGGTACGGGCAGTCTTTGATTTCTGTCCCAGTGTCTCTGAAGAGCTGCCCCTCTTCGTGGGAGATGTCATCGAGGTGTTGGCTGTGGTGGACGAGTTCTGGCTCCTTGGCAAGAAGGAAGGTGTCACAGGTAAGAGCTGGAAGTGTCTGCACCTGGATCCATACATGTGTCAGCTAAACATCCACTCCATGAGCACCCCTTCCCTTGGCCAGCACTGTGCAGAACCTGATTTGATTTACTAAATCTTTCATGGGACTTTGATTGGGACTGAGGGTGCAGGTTGCCTGCCAGCTTTGCCTCAACTATTCAGACAACTTGTTTATTGTTTTTTGAGAGAGATTAGTGAAGGGTCAGTTCTTGAGAAGACGAGAGCTTCACAATACTGGTTGTTCCATTCTCTGTGGTGAGACAGCCCATTTCCTGGCTACTTTGTGTGCTGACCTGCTGTGGCAGTGGAAGGAGTGACGGGAAACAGATGCACTGAGACTGGAAATGGATCCGCATCCAAGTGACCTTGTCAGGTCAAGTCAGTTGGAGATGCAGCAATAGAGTCCATGTGTCCCCCCAAGTCCTCTGACTCAGCCCCACTTCCTCCTTTCCGCTTCAAAGCATTTTCCTGCACAAACTGCCATCAGTATGTGTGTGCCTGAAGTAGTGTGCAAGTCTCAAACTTTTGGAGGGGTGTGAGAAACTTCTGAAGCAGCAAAATTCTCATCGTGAAACAGTCTGTTTAGGCAGCATTTTATCATCTTAATACTGATGTTAAGAGGATGTGTGAGCTCTCAGGGAGAGGAAAACCAGGCCACTTCAAGTCATAAGCCTGCCTCTGTCTTCAGCAGGAGGATGGGACTGGAGTTTCATCTCTGCCTGTAGAGATGGAGCTGCTATTGTAGCAGCAGTCTGAGCTCTCCTAACAAACTGTCTAAAACAAAAATAGACAGGAGCAAAGTTGGAGAGGACTTCTCTCCTGTGCTACATGTCGCTGATAAATGACATTGAACGAATGTGCCTGATCCTGCTGCTGCTGCCAAAGTCACTGGGCAAAAATTACATCTGCAGTTCTTACCACAGTTTTGTCTTCCAGTGGTGAGGTTGTTCTCAAGCAGATGAAGCTATTAAGGAATAGTAAACAGATGTGTTTCGTAGCTCAAAGATAAAAAAAAGTGCTGAAGTCAAACGGAATGGTTTTTAATGACCTTTAATTCAAAACCCACTTGCATTCCTGCTTTCTCTTGGAACAGCTGTTGTAGTTTTCTACTCAGCTTTCTAAGCTGAAGTTGTAGGGGATTGGAAAAGCACTTTTGAATAGAAACTGTGAAGGTGCTTAATATTCATTACTCTGGAATAATCAGTGTGGAATAATTACTGTAACTCCATGACTTTCTTTCTAACAGCATTATGTTGTTTCCATAGAGCAGGAAACTAAGACATGGAAAAAGAGGTAGAACTGGTTAAAACTGTGAAGGAAGCAGCTGAGGCTGGTGGATGTCAAACTGCCTAAAGCCAGTGCTAAGCTCTGGATGTCTAAGATATGGTGTTTCCAGGTTTTATTAGAAAATACTGGATCAGTAAGAAGGAATGCTGGAAGTGCTACTAGCCCATACTCCATCACATTATATAGGAATGAGTGAATTTAGTGGCCTTTGCAGTGGGCTCTGCCATGTCCTGTTCTCCAGGATTGAAATTAGTAGCTGAGTGGTATCCTGTGATGGCCAACAAGTGTGCTCTGCCCTGCCTGGCTGGGGCCTGTTCAGAATAGCTGGGCATCCAGCAATGGGAGCCATGGTGAAACAGGTGCACAGAGTGACAATGTGGGGAAGGTCCCTGGAGTCTCAGCAGTGCTGAAGCTGTGACAGAGCCTGTGACTCACTGATTTGGCCATCCTCAGTGTGGTGGCTTGACTTCTGTGCCGAGGCTGCACGGGGGCCAAGCCTTATAGAGGCAGGAGCACCAGGTGGATATGCCCAGTCAGAAAACAGCATCCAGCACTATGAATCTCTTCATTCTCGTCTGGATCTGAGTTGGGAAGGAAGCAGTAAAAGCAGAGAAAACCTAGTATGTCTGTTCCCAGAAGCTCCATGCTGATGGCACAGTCCCAGTGATGAACACAGTGTGTTGGTTGCCTGGAGTGATCTGAGGGCAGAAAGCTTTTTGTTCTCTGTCAGTTCATAAGCATTTAAAACCTCAGGAATTCCTGACTCCCAAACTCATTTCTCTTCCACCATGCCATTGAGGCACCCAGGATAAATGAGTATTTTCCTTTAGCAGGAGATAAATAGATCCCAAAATCTGGAAGGAGGGTGGAGGTAGTGGTGGGCTACAGGAAAGACTCATTGCTGACAACTGCTTCTCCTTTTAGGGCAGTTTCCTAGCAGCTTTGTTGAACCTGTGGATATTCCTCCTTTGAAGCAGGGAGAAAAACTGCTTGTTTGTACCAATGACTTCACATCTCAAGAGCCAGGGAGCTTATCATTGCAGAGAGGTAATCTCCATTCCCTTCTTTTGATTTGCAGCTCGTAAGCCTCATCTGTCCTTCCAGACAGATGAACCTAGTCACAGCATCCTGCCTAGAGTGACAGAAGAGAGAGGTGAACTTCCTAGTACCTCATGACATGGGTCTTGTCAAATCCACCACGAACTTCTGGGCCTCTGCCACTCTGATACCAGTTTCTCATGATCTGTCGTTACTCATGAAACTCCAGAAGTTGGAGTCGCCTATCATAGTAAATTTACAGCTGCCTTTTAACTGACCTCCAATACCCAAATCTTAGACTTGCATTTGGGGGAGAAATCAAAGCTTTAATGCACCTTCGTGTCTTTGCAGCCAAAACTGTGTATCTTACATGTGTGTGCAAGAGGCTGCTGATACTTCATGCCTTACCCCATCCTGTTCTCATGTGCATCCCCAGCATGTGCTGTGCTCTCGCAGAGTGCCAGACCTCACCCACAGCCAGGAGGGTCAAAGGAAGGCAAGAATAAGAGGTAGGAAGCAATAATGAGAGCAGTTTTGAACTGGTGTTTGTCATTCTCTGCAGGAGACCTGGTGATCCTGGGGGGGTCCCTGGCCTCCAGCTGGCTCCAGGGCCGGAGCAGCTGGGGTTCCAAGGGCTTTTTCCCCTCATCATGTGTGCGGGAGCTGTGCCTTTCAGTTCGGAGACGTCAGCTGTCCCAGAGCACTCTCCTGGAGGTGCCTGCCTACTCACTGGGCCAAGCCCGGGCCCTGATGGACCTGTCTGCTCAGCTAGAGGAGGAACTGGACTTCAGGGAAGGGGATGTAATCAACATTGTTGGTGTCCCAGAGCCTGGCTGGTTTGAAGGTGAGCTCAGAGGCTGCAGAGGCATTTTTCCAGAGGGTTTTGTGGAACTGCTTACTCCTCTGCAAGCACCAGGAACCTCAGTGGATCCAGAGCCCACTGGGACTTGTGACACCAATGGGACAGTGGAGATGCCCCCCAAGGAGGACGAAGAGCCAGGGAACACTTATGGTGTTGCCCTCTATCAGTTCCAAGCCATGGAGTCCAAGGAACTGGATTTTGATGTGGGTGACAGGATTCGGATTGTTGGCGTTCTGGAGGATGGCTGGCTGGAGGGGGAGCTGAGAGGAAAACGTGGCATCTTTCCACACAGATTTGTGAGGCTGGAAGCCTCTGAGGCTTGCAGGGTAAAGGTGTGTGCTGGGGATCTCCAAGGTGAGGACAGCTGTGGATTGTCCATCCATCAAGACCCAGAAAACACCGGCTCTGAAGCTCTTCCTTTGCTAGGGAAAGATGGCAGGGAAAAGGAAGAGGGCTTGGCTGCACACCCTGAGCCTGCCACCATTTTGTCTCACAAGGTGGGGAGGTCAGAGGGTCCTCTTGCAACTGACTTGAGACAGCATCAGGCCTTTCCCAGCACAGGACACCAAGGGCTACATCCCAAAGGCCCAGTGGACTCCCTCCCCTCTGCCTGCATGAAGACTGTCAATGGCCTTCTCCTCTCTGCTCAGCTGCCTCCTCCACAGGGCAACAGGCCTGGCCAAGCAGGTGAGTTGGAGCCTGGGGGGACCATTTCAGCCTCCCCAGGAAAATCAGAATGTCACGCTCTGCTTGAGCACGATGGAGACAGTCCCGCTGTGCCCTTGCAGGCTTCCCATGTCCCCCAAGATCCTTACAGGAGCCAGGCAATTTCATCTTCTAACAGCTGGGCAGCATCCCAGCCCCAGGAGATCCAGAGCAGCACCCAGGATCTAGACAATTGGATGGACAGTCAACAGGAGAAGTCCAAGCCCTGTTCCTCCAGCTCAGGAGCTGCCCAGGTGGGCCTGGACACGTGGGCTGGGAACTGGGGGGAGTGCTGCCCACTTGCAGTGCAGGGGGACAGCTGCACAGACCTTGACTCCAAACTGACGGAGCAGCTGGCACAGTTTGAGAAGAGTCTGTCAAGTACCAGTGCTGAGCAGAACAAAGTCTCCCGTCATTTCTCTATCTTGGACTACAGCTCTGAGAAGGACATTGTCCGTGGGTCTCCTGTGTCTGTCCCCCACTCCAGGCAGACAGAGAGGAGGAGGGCCCTGAGGCCACCCCCTCCTCGGCCCAGCCTTGCAACAACCCCTGTGCACACGCTGGGTGGCCAGACATCCAAAGGCAGGTCTCTGTCCTTCTCAGTCAAGCCCTCCCGGCCTGCACCCCGGCCTCCGTCAGGCAACCAGCAGAAAAATGTGGCCCCTGCACAGCTTCAGCCCAGCACCCCAGAGCAGCGGGTGGAGGAGGGACGTGAGGACTTGACACAGGCAGGATCAGCTTCCCCCTGCTCCATTCTGCTGACTAGGATTGGAGAGGTAGAGCGAGACTTGGAAGCTTATGGCAAGACCCGTGCTGAGCTAAGCCTGATGCTGGAGGAGCAGCAGGATGAGCTGGTGAGAGCAGAGACCATGGAAAACCTTGAATTCTGTGACTCCAACATTGAGAGCCTCAACATGGAGCTGCAGGAGCTGAGAGGTGAGTCTACAGCAGCATGGGATGGGGGTTCTTCAGGGGGACAACTGCCCCTGCTGTTTAGAGATGCTATTGAAACCAGTCTTTTATACCCTTCTTTAATTCCTGGTAATTTTGTAAGCAGTCAAATCATCATGATTTTGCTTTGGAGAATCAGTGTCTTTCTCTGAACATCCCTTTGCCCCGGTCTTCCCCACCCACTTTTCCTTTCAACTCTCCCGTCTCCTCTTCTGGCCCCACCATCCATCCAGAGCCTTCATCTGATCCGTTCCCAGTATATCCTTGCTATTAAGCAAAAGCAGAGCTGCTACAGTTTCAACCTCCCTGCCTCATCCCCTCTTAGCTGTAGGGGAGTGAGCAGCAGCTTCAGAGTGGCTTTGCTTGTGGTCCTGCAGTTGAGATTTGAGTTGATGTCTGTGGTGTGACTGCCATCAGCCTGTCAGGGCACTGAGTTTACTGTGGTTTCTGTTCTGGTGGTGATACAGACCTGTGGGGCCTTGTCACTCAGATCAGAGTGGATGCACAGAAGGGGACTGAACCTGGCCTGGGAGTGTGATGGATTAGTGGGCAAAAAGTAAAGCCTGACCCTGTGCTTCTGCCATCCATGCAGTCCTAGATAGGAAAATGACACCGTGCTGTTGGTAACAGCAACAAAGAGCTTTAAATTGTGGCAAATCTTTAGCTGGAAAGATAACTTTTGTCCACGTAGCCCCAAAAAATTAGTCAGGGAAGAGAAATTTGCGATGATTATATCAGCACGTTTGGCCTCTGAAACCCAAAGATGCCATGTAAAGTTCAGTGCTGTTAATTATGTTACACTTGGTATTACAGTAGACAAAGTATAAAGATGAGACCACATACGTTTTATCCCACAGTCCCTTCCCCAGCTTCTCCCAGGAGCTCTGACACCACAGTTCTGTTACTGAAACCCACGATGTGCAGGAAATGTGGGCACTGCATTCAGGAGGTGGAGTGAAATGCCAGCTCCTGCCTGGGGATTACTCACTCTGACTTCATTGCCTCCATCTGCCCACTGCTTTATCAGTGCTGGGAAGCCCAGGCACTTTGTTGCACGATCGTGTCTGATGCAGAGCACATGGGAATGAAGGCAGATTCAGGTGCCCCAGGAAAATAGGGTGACAAACGGCCTCCACATCAACAGTGTGCAAGAGGCACGCTTGGAAGGAGGCTTAGAGGATATGAGACAAGACGAAATAACTTGAAGGTAGGAAGAGAAAACTCTAGGCTGAATCTCAAGGGAATTTTTCTAATGGGATGGATCTTTCTGGGAAACTTCTCTTACCATCCTAGTGCTTCCTGGCAGAGGACAGATCCTGTAAAACCTGTGCCCTGTTGGTTCCTGAAACTGGAAGTTTTAAGCAAGAACTAATGCACTATCCTGAGACATGCTCAAGTTAGTATCCCCTCAGTAGTCCTAGAGGATTTTTCACCAGTTCAAAGAGACCTGAGGATTTGTAAGTAACCTCTCTGGTCCTGTGATAAAGATGTTTTCTACCTAAGCTTTGTCACATCCTTCCTGCCACATCTGAGTGTAGCCAGAGAGCATGTCTCAGGCTTCCTAGCCCAGCTCTAGTGCAGCAGGCCAGATCAGTAACAGGGTTTTACATCAGCTCAGCAAAATGAGTTTGTGCCATGCCTGAGGCGTGACCTCTGCCTTGCCGTTGTTAGGGGAACATGGAGGCACACTGGTGGGAGAAAAGCTTTCACTAAGCTTTGACCAGCAACCAAAGCAGGGCTGATGTAGTCTTGGGGGAATTCAGCCTATCCTTTGGGATATAGAACCAAACCACATATAGAAAGTATGTGGTTTTCTACAACACATGTTTAAAATTGTCACATTGCTTCTTTGGTGTGTCTGTGCACACTGGGGGTTTGCCTGGCTTGGGCAGGATTAGCGCTTGCCCTCCTGCAGTTGGAGTAGGAGAGTCCATAGGTTTTATTGTTGTCTTCTACCAGCACAGAGCATGGGCTGTGCATTCCTAACAAGTGTTGAAAAAACCTGAGACACGGATGACATCCATGGACTCCCATGCTTTCTGTCTAGGGCATGTAGGGCATTGTTGGTTTCTTATAGGAGCTCTGCATTTGGCATGGAAAACTGGGAATATGCTGTGCCCTGCAGTGAGAGGTGTTACTAGACTGCATGTTTCTGTAGCCTCCTGAAAATTTATATTTTGTGTTGGCACTGAACTCCATAAGCCAGGTAATCCCTTCAAGGCTGTTCCTGTCAGCAGGTAGAGCAGCTGTTCACCTTGGAGCAGGGAACCAGGCAGCTGTGGCTGCACGGCACTGTGTAGGCACTACTGGGGGGGCTCTGTCTTGCAGGGAGCAGCTCCTCTCCTGATCTTCCAGTGACTGTGGGTGAGGACTGGGAAAAGGGTGGGTTCAGCATCAGGTTTGAGCCAGGGGCAGCCTGAAGGCCTCAGTTTGCCCCTGTGAGGTGTGGAGCAGAGCCCAGCCTCCTCTAGACTGCGTTGTTTAGCCTCCACGCCATTAGGAATGTGAAGGCAGTGGAAGGAGACCTGGTATCCCATCTCTGGTTTGTGGCTTCCTGCAGTCTCACACACGGTCTGTTTCCCTTCCCTGAGGACATTGGTCTGGGGCAGGGCCTCTGCCTGCTCCAGTGCCCTCCTCTTCCTTGCCTCTGAGCTGCCTGAGGAGAGGCTTTGGCAAAGCTGCGGAGCCGGTTTGGGCAGCGAGAGCCTGCCCAGCCTCGGCTTCCCTCCTCGGGGCTGGTTACTGATTACTTTGGGCAGCAGGTGGAGGAGGCCAGGGCTGGCAGTGATTGGGCCTGCGCCTCCTCCTACCCTTGCTGACTGGTTTCAGGAAGCAGCACCTGCATTTCACTTGGGACAGGAGCACTGGAGCAGAGCGGAGAAACAGCGTCAGCCCGGGCTTGGGCTCAGGGAGCAGACAGTGAGGGGAGTTAGCCCCTGCTCCATACCCCGCAGGACTATGTGCTCTTATCCTGGGTCGAAACACTGCGTGGAAGATCCAAGACAGGAACGGCGACTCCTCAGCTGGGAATATGAGGACTCTTGTGCCATACGGAGAGAGGACGTAGCTGGGGTGGCTGTGCTGCGCAGGGAGGCTGGCTGCAGTGACAGACCCAGGGCGACAAGGAGGCAGTACCCAGGCAGCCAGGGAGCAGACGGTGGCTGGGACAGTTACAGGAGAGGAGAGGGCTTCTCTGTGGACCAACGGAGCATGAATGTAGACTGTGGAGGTTTTTGGAAGGGAGATGTGCAGTACATGGGCTGCAGGAGAGCAGATGGTGCTTGGGAAGGCAAAAGCCAGGATACAGAGGGTAGAAACTACAGGGCGTACGAGAAGGAGGACATTCAATACAGAAACTGCAGTTCTGAGATAAGAGAAGGGCGGAGCAGAGAGGACAGAGTACCTGGGCAGTCCAGGGAGGGGGGAAGGCAGTATGGAGGCGATAGAGGCCCTGAAGGCCATGGGGAGAGGGGAAGGTGGTATCAGGACTACAGTGAGGATGAAAGACATTATAGGAAGAAGGAAAGGGGGTATAGGCAAGAGAGGGACTCTGGGGAGTATAGGGAGAGAAGAAGGCAGTATAGAGAGGACAGAGGCAATCGAGTATATAGGGAAGGGGAAAGGTGGTATAGAGAGGATGGAGGCTCTGGGGCATATAGAGATCAGGAAAGGCAGTGTGTAGGTATCGGAGACCAGGTAGACCAAGAAGACATTGAACAGCACAGGCAGCCCAAAGGCCATGTCATAGACCACAGCAGTCTGGACAGAGGTTGTGAAGTTCCTGCTTTGGCAGGCAGGTCCTTAGACAGTAGTGTGAGCCTGGGGTCAGGTACCTGCTACACACAGTTTGAGATGTGGGACATTGACTCCAATGGCTGTGGGGAGCTGGAAGGAGCAGCCCCAGGGCCTGGGATGCCGGCCAAGAGCAGCAGTGGAGCAGAGCGCTCGAGGGTACGCACGGGCCGGCCGGACTGGAGCCAGGTCTGGGAGCAGGAGGCCGAGGACACGAACAGGGTGGGCTCTGTGCTGCAGCGAAACAGCTTCTACAGACGGACGGCTCCCAGTGCCCTGCGGCACTCAGAGTTTGTGCAGACCAGGAAGAAAAAGCAAGGTACACGGGGAAATAGTGGGCAATTGCCTTGGGTGTGCCTGTGCTCTGCCCTGGCACTGGGGCAGCACCAGGACTCTGACACAGGTGGGAGTGGCCAGCACTGACCACTGGCTCTCATGGGAAGGTTTCTCCCTGGGACTTGCTGAAATGAGCATCATGGTTGTTACCCCTCTGCACAATTGCTGATCTGCCCTGCAAGGGGATTTCACAGAGGCCCAGGTGGGAGGGAAGCACAGGCAATACAGACTTGCTGCTGTCCTTTCTCTTGCTCCTCCATCTGTGTTCCCAGTGTTTTAGGTACACCCTAAAACTTGTGGCCCTGTTCTTTTGTCTAGTCTCTCAGGGTCCTGAGGAGGTTCCTCATGTGGGAAAGGGTGGGGTGCTGGGGTTATTCCCACTACCTGTTTTACTTTTATAACCCATCGTGAACAGATTTGATGTTTAGGAACCAATTCCTGGCTCAGAGCGTGAGTATGGCAGCTGATCACAGGCAGCACGAAGCAGGAAGTAGAGGAAGTTGGTGTAGCACTCAGACATAAGCGGAGAGCAAGTACTTGTAGTTGTGTAATGCACATGGGCAGGACATTGAGGTACCTGCATGTTGGGGGGCTGTCACATTTGGGAATCCCCTGCATCGCCAGCCCCTCGCTACTGCAGTGTTCCCTTGCCTGTGCTACAGCAGTTCCATGTCCTGGGTCCCCAAGCCATCCGCAGGTCTCCAGTCCCATCAACCAGCACTCTGGAGGTGGAGAAATACCAAAGTGAAAGGCCTGAGCTGTCTTGGCATGGGCAAAATCATTCCATTGATGCTGTGGCTGGGACAGAGTCAGCTGCAGACAGCTTTGTGCAGCTTGGCTTGTTCTTGCAAGAATAT